TTTTATTCATCTCTATTCTCTCCTTTCCTACATGTTCATTCATTAACATTCAACAACTATTTATTAAACATCTTCTAAGTTGCAGGACATATTTTAGGTAGAGGAGAAAACAGGAATTAATGCCGCAGTGTAGTTTAGATTCTGGGGAGATGAGACAGACATGATGAATAAATGAGTTCATGTGAAGTATACCAGGTGGTCATAAATGTTATGGGGAAAAATGAAACCGGAAATTGAAAAACTATTTTAACAGGTCAGTGAAGGAGTTGGGGGAATTAACATGTGAATATCTGGGGAGGAGGGTTCCAAGAAGAGAGAACAGTGAGTGAAAAAGGACTGATGTTGGCATTTTCTTTCTGGTGACCACCTGGACACCAGCATGGCTGGAACGAGACTGAGAAAGGAGGCAATGAGGGTGGAGGGGTAGCGTGATGGGGATGGCTAGGAAGTTATGGTAGCACGGTTGCCTTTCGTGCTGTGTGAGATGGGCAGCTATCAGATGGTTTTGGACAGATAAGCAACATGTTCTCATAGTTTGAAAGGATCTCTTCAACTGCTAGGTTGATAATATATCATAGGGGGAGGATGAGAAAGATTGAAGCACTTAGGGCCAAGGAGATCTTAAAAGCTACTGCAATAATTCGGGCAGAATTGGTCTTGGTTTGGAACAGAATGGTAGTGGTGCAAATGTCATCAAATCCCCATATATTTTGAGGGTGAATAAAACAGAATTTGGGATGTAATAGAAAAAGAAGAATCAAGGATGACACCAGTATTTTTGGCATGAGTAACTAGAAGTGTAGAGTTGTCATTTACTGATAAGACTGTCATTTATGATATGACTGTGGGAAGTGCAGGTATTAAAGAGAAAACCCGGATCTGACTTAGGACTTGTGAGTGTGACCAGGAGCTTGCTCACTGTTAGACATCTCAGTGAAGAAGCTGAGAAGTGGGGTATGTGCTTCTGGAGTTCAAGAGACAGGTCCAGCCGGGAATAGAGCTCTGGGAATTATCAACATATATATGGGATTTAAAGCCAGGAAATCACCAAGAGAGTAGCATAATAGAGAAGTTTTAGGACTGAGTCCTAAAATAACCAACAGTTAAAGGTTGCTGAGTTGAAGAAGGGTTTTCAAAAGAAATTAAGGAGGAGGAGTCTGTTGCATTGGAAAGGGTCAGGGAATAGAGGTTCCCTGAAAAGTATTTCAAAGAGGATGAAATAAGAAACTGACTTGGGTCCTGAGGCTAGGTCAAAGAAAGTGAGGACTGGGTTTAGAAACCAGTGAGGGTGACCGTGAGAAAAGACCCAGTGGAGTGATGGAAGTGAAAGTCCTATTGGAAAGGATTTAAGAGAAAACGAGGAGAAGAATTGAAACAATTAATATAGACAACTCTTTTGAGTTTTTTATAAAGGGAAACAGATAATAAGATGGCAGCTGAAGAGGGATGTGAGAGGAAGGGAGGATTTTTTTTTCAGTTGGCAGATAACTCAAGATACCGCACCAGAGTTCAGGGTGTAACACTTTGGTATGTTAGCCTCCTCTTCACAGGAAGGATCAGGCATTTATGACCAAATGAATGACCATCCTCGAGATGACCTTCTGTATCAGGTCACCTTTCCCCAACTCTATTCCTTGCAAAAAATCTTTTAATGACAATTTAATAATAGTCTACACAATATTATTCAAATTCTTGAGTCTAGAATTCAAGGTGAAAAGGAAATCTGATATCTACTTTGCCCCAGTAAATCTGGTCTATATTCTGTATATTTCCCACTTTTGTGCCCCGTTATTGTCACCCCCTTTGCCATCTCAGCTTCTGAAGGCAGAAGTGGGGACTTTAAGGGAGCTTCAGGGCTCTCCTCACATGTGACATGTTATATAGTCTTTCCTTGATGACCTTAGCCAGAAAAATGTTTCTGTCATCTCAACTGCTATAGTATTTATCAGCAAAAGCATTTTTGGCTTAGATAACTGCCTTATAGAATAGATGTTTTTATGTCTTTTATAGTGTTTATCTCAAAGCACATGAATGTGTTACATAAAAACATGTTGGATAAATAAATGATTATAGACCAGGTCTGCTCACTCCAAATCTACTGCTTTTCCCTTTCACCCTTCTGCTTCAGCCTTTGGTGGGATCCAGATGAGTGTTATCTGGGTAACCACATCTCTGGCTTTATGGGAACTGCATGGCTTAGTTTGCAAAGAGTTGGAGATTTATAATTTTGAGGCAGCTCAGAGCCTTCTGCTCAGCAACCAGAAAGCTTTACTTGGATGAAGTCTGTTATGATGGTAGAAACCAACATTTTATCATTAAAATGAAAGAAAGTTTGAAATCTGAGAATCCAAATATATCTTTAAATCTTCGTTGCCACTGAAGACGAAAGCTTAATAAAACATCTGTCCTATTCCTCTTTAAAGAGCTAATTTTTAGATACTTTTTGTTTGTAAAATTTAATTATAATTCAGTTTGCAAAAATCAAGCCTGTGTCAATCTCATTATTATTGAGTCAGGTCTCACAGTTTGTCATTAAAATTTTCTCTCAGGAGAAAATTTTTGTTTTTGTTTAATTCTTATAAAGATTTTAATTACCATTTTAACCCCCCCCAATAACCTAGTAAAATCACTAACCCTATTAAAATAAAGTAGAGAGTTGGGGCCCAAATTTCTTGCTAACCTGTGTCATCAGCTGGACATCACTCCAACCTTGAGAATGGAATTGTACCTTAATGTGGTACTGTAGAAAAGAATTGGCTAATGCTGAATCTGGGCAGGTGTGGAGCCCCCTTACATTCGGTTTCCCTTGAGACCATGAAGTGTTTTATGCTGAGAAGGATGAATTTTGTTAGGGAATTTTATGTTCTATCTAGTAGAATTTTTTTAAAGAATGCTTATTTCTCTATTTGTATTTTTTTCTCAAGTCTTACAAGTCATAATCTCATTGTGGACTGGGGAATACCTTTGGGTTTTTTAGAATGTTTCTTTAGCTTATATTGGGACTTCAAAGATGTTATTGAAGGATTAAATTAAAACATTTGTCACATATTTTGTCAGTGAGTATTCAAAAAGACAAATGATTTCAGGTATGAAAATGAGAAACGTGTGGAAAGCAGCATTTTAGATGTGTAATGAAAGTGACTTTTACCAAGGCATCTTGCCAATCTTTCCTCAAAATAATTAGCATGCAAATTGGAATTTATATTGCATGCCAAAAAATGGTTGCCGTATAGATGATTATTAGTGCGTAGGTGGTGTTTATGTGGATGTGCAGATGTGTTCAGAAACCCTTGATCTATGTGGCACTCTGAGCAACCCAGCCTGTATTCACAGATGAATTACATTTCATTTCCCCATTATGCCATGTCACAATTGCAACTTGCATATTTAAACAGGTGTACCAATTTATCTAGAGGGAATTACATTTTTTTTTTTTTTTGAGACAGAGCCTCAAGCTGTCCCCCTGGGTAGAGTGCCATGGCATCACACTCAGAGCAACCTCCAACTCCTGGGCTCCAGCGAGTCTCCTGCCTCAGCCTCCCAAGTAGCTGGGACCACAGGTGCCCGCCACAACGCCCGGCCATTTTTTGGTTGCAGCCGTCATGGTTGTTTGGCGGGTCCGGGCTGGGGATTCAAACTCGCCACCTTAGGTGTATGTGGCTGGCGCCTTAGCCGGTTGAGCTATAGGCGCTGAGCCAGGGAATTACATTTTTCAGAAAACAGCTTAATAGATTACTTCACGTGAACAATGAGTAATTTTAACAAACTATTTTAAGCAAAGAATATAGGTTTTCTGGTTAGCCAAATCTTCCTTTTGTCTAACTTCCCTTTTTGTGAGTGGAAGGGGAAGACTTCATTATCTCCAATTTTGATCTTCTGTTCAGTAATCTGAACTCTGGATGATTCCAAAACAGTGGGAAGAAACATACCTAACGTCACTCTTCACTCTGATCTCTAGATTGAGCAGATCTAGAATCCACTGGGCAGGTGGGGTGGAATGGAAATCACTAGTGGATGAATCAAAAGAGAGACTATTTAGATGTGGGGCTGGATCCTTAGCCAGACATTCGCCTATCGCTGGTAGAATATACTGACCAAAAAACCAAGGATCCACTTTGAAATATCAAGCAAGAAATGGCACATGGCTGCAGGCTTCCTGTGGGAGGTAACATCTTTGTTTTTTATTTTTTTGCCTTGTTGCTTAAGGTTCTTTTCAGATTCAGACTTGGCAACTCATCCTTTGCTCTGTTCCTTCCCTGTTACCTTCTTTCTTCCTTAACACTTGCTAAAGATACAAGAAGTTATCAGGATATATTTGGATTTCAAGTGTCTAGAAATTTTTATCTTTTCAACCAATGAGTAAAATTACATAAATTAATAAAAATACTTGTAATCTTCCGCACTCCTGCTCCAAGTCTTAGATTTCCCTGTCTTTTTCTTTACCTTGGATCTTTCTTTTTTTTTTATTTGAAGCTCTGACCTACAGAGGATGTCTTCTCTAGTGTGAAGATTTTTTTCTGAATTTTCTGTCTTCTACTTGTCCTCCTGGTTGCCACCATTTTTTGCTTTTTGTGTCTTTAATCTCCCACTTAAAACCTTGGATCGTGTATTCCCTGTGGAATTCTCTAGGCCTGGGTTTCAACCCTGACACTTTTTGGCTTGTGTCTTGGACAGTTCCTTGTTCTTTCTGAACCTAATTTGGTAGGATCTACCTGTTAATTTCAGTAAGAACAGAAATAGAAAATTGGAGCTGGTGGTTTGTTTCCTGGCTGGGGCTATGCTGGAGTAAATCAAAGCTAAGGACATCTACATCCAATTGTCAGAGAAACTTGGGAAGAGCTTCCAGTCCATTTCCAACAGTAAATTTGCTTTCAAGGAAAAGCCAGGGTCAAGGAGCTCCATCAGTTCCAGTTTGTCTCTAATCACACAGATTCATCTCTCTTAAAATGATGGGTTTCTGTTTTCCAAAAGAACTTTAACTGCCTGCTATCTTTCTGCAGTTTGAACTTCAATGGATGCTGATTCATTGCGACCCCCTGCGACCCCGGAGAGAAACTTGCCATGAGCTGCCAGCCAGAATAACAGTGAGTCCCCTTGACCACCTGCAAAGGCCTCTTCTGCTCACCCATCTCCCTGTCATCAACCTTCCACCTCCCCACTCCCCACTTACTTTCCCTAAAGAGCCAGTGCTTTGCTGTATGGACCAGGCGGGCTTCAGGCAGCATGGGTACCAGCGTGGCGGGTAGCAACCACTCTTGGTGGCTATAACCCTCCCTCCCCCAGCTCTTCAAGAACACTCGCCATCTGCTCGTCAGCACTGGCACAGACCACTCGGGGAGGCTGGGAGGACAGCCTGAGGACGCGTGGGCAGGTGGGGCGCAGGCAGAGCTGCCCTCTCAGGCCTCTCCAGCCGGGGCTGCGGGGAAAGGGTTAAGTGAGACTGCTGTCATCTTATCCGTCCTCCCCGCCGGCTAGCTCTCCTCCAATCCCCGGGACCCTCTCCAGGGCCATTCATAAACCAGAGGAAGGAACATACGTCTCCTAGGCCCCTGCACCTTTGCAAAGTTTCCCGGGCGCACCTTTCTGCGGGTCCAAGTCCCATTTTATGCGAGTGGTGGCCCGGAAGCCTGGCGGGTGGACTGGCCGCAGAGCTCGGCCGGGGTGTTAGTGGAGGGCGGCGGGCATGACCTGGACGGCGCGGGACCGCGGGGCCCTGGGGTTGCTGCTGTCAGGGCTCTGCTTGTGTGCGGCTCAAGTAAGTTGTGCGACCTTTTGAAGGTCTCTTTCTCACGTCCTCTCACCTTTCCTCCTGCAGCCCAGCCAGACCACCGATGAGGTAAGCTGGGGTGAGAAGTGTTTGTATTTTCCGAGCGCACACAAGGGAAGGCTGGGGCGCAGCCGTCGGGTGGGGGTGGGGGGCTGCGGGGAAGGCGCGGAGCGTCCTCAGGGCTCTCAGACCCGCACCGCCGCCAGCCTCCAGCACCTGCAGCCTCTACCGTGGGAGCCGGGGGAGGGGGGCCCTAAATGACCTCGTGCTCTGGGAAGGGGCGCCTACTCCTCCACCTGGGCGCTAACACTGCAGGCTGTGGCGCTGAAGGAAACAGGGGATTAGAGACCGAGGTTTAATATTTAGTCTGTGCTGCCTCTCACTCCTCGGCCCCCGCCCCTGTCCCACCGCCTGGTCACTGTCAAGAGCGGGCCTTGCTGGGGAAGGCAGAAATTCAGGCAAGCTTCCTCTCGGTGTCGTCCCACTCGTGGTGGCTGCACTAAGCCGCGAGTCCTGCTGGTAGAGCCGGCGGCTCCCGGGTTGGAACTGGGCAGCCCTGGCTCCCTTCAGAATTGCAGCAACTGGTGTCTCCTCCCCCGCAAGCTGGACAGGATGGGGGCGGGTAAGCCCGGCTGAGGTTTGAGGTTTCCCTTACAAAGACCCCATTGTAACCTGTCCTTCGAGTTTAGAAAAACAAAGTTTTCCTTGATGAAAGAGTCTTTCTTCTTTCTTTCTTCTTTTTTTTAAATTCAGAGGCAAAAAAAGACTCATATTCCCTAAGCAACATGTTCCTACCATTTCAGAGGCCAGCATGACCTCTAGTTCCATTAAAGTCCAGCTATTAGCCAGCTATCAAAGGGTCACAACCTCGGTCAGTCTGAAATTTGGTGTAGTTTTGAAGTGAGGTGCAAAGACCTCATGCCAAGGAATGTCGCTGCAGGTAAAACTGAAATGAGGCCAGGTGCGGGTTTCATGGCTGTCCTGCCCTCTCCCCGCACATCTTTTCAAGAATGTCCCCCTGCCCCCTTCCTGTACAGAGAAAGATTTCCAAGCCAGTCTGTAGAGACCAGGTGTGGAGCATCTCCATTCTTGGCTGTTTCATTCTGACCAAAACATTGATCTAAGATTATTGAGGAAATCAAGGTATCAAATGACCCCCATTTTTATTTTTAAATCCCTTTGGGGGAAAAGAGAGGCCCAGTGATCCTCCCCCAGCAGAGGGGCCTCGTCCTGCTCTGACCCCACAGTTCACCTCTTTCAGAACACATCAGCCCAACCCTGCACTTACTGGCAAGTCTGAGCCACGGTTTTTACCTTGTTGGGTTTCTGGGGTTCAAGGCCCCAGCGTCCGCAGAGAGGCAACGTTATCATGGTTATGGCGAGGAGGCGGGGGCTCAGGACACCGCCCAGCTGCTCCTTGTTCACTAACCTGAATCTGCTGTTCTTGCCAGAGAGGTCCCCCGGGCGAGCAGGGTCCCCCCGGGCCACCAGGGCCCCCTGGCGTTCCCGGCATTGATGGCATCGATGTAAGTTTCTATCTCCAGGCCCCCCTATTTCCCGTGGGCCATTTCCTACTCCCTTTCCAGCAGCTCCTGTGGGTTTTTAGGGAGGGAGGGTGAGGATGCCCCCACCCCCATCCCCGTAAAGGCAGGATTGGACCGGGTGAGAGTTGCGGGTGGGGTTCTAGGTGCCTGGGGATTTGGGGATTTGGAGAGAGACCTGTCCCGGTCATCCCTGCTGGTGGTGAGGTCCCACCTTTCAGCCTTGACCCGGTTCTGGTCCCCAGTGCCTGTGGTGAACTCCTGTGGGATTGTCCCGGCGGGTTCCCACCTCTCTCACTCAGACTCCGCCCTCCTTCTATCCCTCCAGGGTGACCGAGGCCCAAAGGGTCCCCCAGGCCTCCCGGTAAGTCCATCAGCGCGGTCACGCCCCACTTCTATCCCTTAGACGTGTCTTGCAGCTACGTGTGTTGAAGGATCTCAACTTGGCATTTTTTCTCTCCCTATCTCATCCCCTCCCTGTCCCCCACTGCTCAGGGTCCTGTGGGAGAGCCGGGCAAGCCAGGAGCTCCGGGCAAGCCGGGCACGCCGGGCGCTGACGTGAGTGGGCCGGGGCTGGGGTGGGGAGGGGCAGCCTGGGCGTGTGTGTGCGCGCGCGCGCGCGCGCGCGTGTGTG